CTTATCGTTATTTAGTATAGTGTCAAGTATGGATCATTGATTCAATTTTTTTTTGCTTGATATAACGATAATGGTGTTATCAACTTGTAGAGCTGCTTTTTTCTCATTTGCGATTTGCTTTGCCTTACAATGAAGGTCACCGACTTGTTTCGTCACTTTTTCATAAATGTCAAGAGCAAGTTTACCGGTGTTTGAATCAAGAACACAGTGCGCTTTGTCTTGAGCCTGAGATACGGTTTTCTTGACCTTATCTTGAACGGCATACTTACTATCTAACTCGCGTACAGTATCGGTTACCTTATATTTGTCATCAATTGCCACAACTAAAATATTAAAAGAAATGATGATTAAGTTGATATTTTAGTTATAAAAAAAGAAATACAACAAAAAGAAAAAAAGTATTACGATTTGCTTGGAAAAAGGTAAAATATTCCTTGAAAATTGCGCTAAGACCATATTTAGCTAATAAATTATAACACAGTAATAACATTCATTAATATATATCTAAAATTTATAATAAAATAGATTTTCGGATATATTTTTACATTACCATCGACTTCAGCTACTTTCGAGAGGAGGGTTTCTTCTAACTGATAGCCAGCAGCCAGAATTTCGGCTAATATGCGTAATTTTGATTTTCCTTCTTGACCATCATGACCTTCGCCTCCATCTAAACATTCTTCGTTGCTTGATGCATCGTCAGCACCTTTGACAATAATTTTGGAGTCTCCAATAACAGCGTGTGTCAACATTTGGGCTGTTTTTGCAGCAGTTTCTTTTTCAAATGTGATAAAGGCGATTTGTTTATCGCAACTTACTTCCCTATAGAGATATTATTGAAAAGATATTAGTGACATAAATGAATGAATATTTAATAATAATAATAATAATATATATATAATAAAATTTTTATATATTTACTCACTTTATTAATTCGAATTCTTTAATTTTACCACAAAATAAGAAAAAATCTTTTACTATAGTGGTACAAAAATTTGGGTAACAGTTAGTTAATTTGATTTCTCTCACGCTTCATTAATATTTTAAAAAAAAATAAGCTGCGCGCTCAAAAAAAAAAAAAATAATAAAAAATAAAAATAAAAATAAAATTATGCTTCGCATACACACGAATACGTAGTAATATTTTTACAAATATTTTTTACAAAAACAAAAACAATATGAACTTTATATAATAGCATACCAGTTTTTTCTGAAGCACTAGAACTAATGTCAGTTACGATAATTTTCTTGCTCATATTCAATAAACGAGGTATTTATAAACAAATTCGCAAATAAATTTTTTTTTTGTAGAATACAATGATTTAAATCAAAAAATTACGATTTACTTATATAAGTTTTTTTTTTTTCAGGGTCAAAAGACTGACTATAGAAATATTTACAGATCCTTGTTTCAATATTGCATGATCTGCATTGGGAAACTCATATGACATGACGTACAATTGTTTAGATTCTAGAATAAAATTTCTAAGTGGATAATGCTCGTGAAAATAGTGTGAAAATTTGTGAAAAAAGAAAAGTGCACAGTTAAAAAACAATCTATACGTTGATTCTATAATTAGAATTGGTCAAGAACTAATTCATTGAGAAAGCTGTTATGGTATTACTTAATCAATCACTTTGATCCTGATGCTCAGAGGCGTGGAAAATGATAAACTATGAATAAGCATGACGATCCAGTATAAGAATATCATCGTAAATCAAAAATACTTTAAATATATATTGTGATACATATCGCATATTGCATATTTTTTTTATTTTTATTATGAATCCCTATAAATTGATTATCTTTTTGTTTGTCTAATCCGATCGTGAGTTAGCACACGTGAATTCTTCATTCCCCGAGATCAATCCTTAGGGTTAGGTAACAAAACTCCCTTTTTTGAAATTTATCAAATGATTACTTTTGAAATTTCCTGTTGGCTCTAGATATAACTCCAGAATTGTCTACAACTTTGGACTATTTGTTTAATCTTTTAATAAGCAAAATTTTACCGAAACTTTTTCATTGTACTGAATGTGATAACGTATAAATTAGACTTATTTAAAATGCTTATTAAGTGCTCTTCACATGAAATATCAAATTTTAATTATAAGAACTAACTTGTATGCTCATGGTGTAATTTTCAATACCCAATACGTTATTATAAATTTTAGATATATATTAATGAATGTTATTACTGTGTTATAATTTATTAGCTAAAT